GAAGCAACACTCTAACACGGTCATGTAAGAAAATACTAGTAACCTGGGATGCTAGAGAAAGCATAGGAAGTGAAGTTAAAGACTCCAGTTTGAGAATTTGATACACATAAGTTAGGAGACTTGAACATGACACTTTGCTCTTTAAAGTAAAATGGAGAAAAAAATGTGTCTACTTTGTGAAACTAAAAAAAAAAAAGTATCTTAAAATGTTTTCTAAACTAAAAAAAACACCATACACAAAACATCAATGATGCGTTTACATACTCTGGGCAAGAAGATACAGGTAAAGTTGCCTTCAGATCAATGGAAAGGGCAGGGAAAGTTTTTAAGGAATTGGTGGCATTGGCTTGCAATTGGCAGGTAGGTACATGGGGTGACAAAAAATAATGAGGCAGGAGGCAAGGAGTATAATTTAACTATAGGTTAGAGAATAACAGAATTATCAATAACAGCTCTGGTAACTCATGGCAGACATTAATCTTTTATTGACTGATTTCTAAATGTTAAAGTTGATGAAGAATGTAAAATACATCTTTGAAGAACTTACGTTTAGTGATGGGCATTATAGTTCTAACCAATATTTATGAATCTCTTCCCTTTTCTGGATATACAGGGAAATTATACTTCTTACTCATTTATATTCAGCATGACAATGTCACTTTCTTTGGCCAATAAAATATGAATGGAAATGACATGTATTGCTGGATGAAAGCATTTAAGAAGCAGTGTATAATTTGTCCATATTCTTTCCTCATGCTCCAGAAATTCTGGGAGCACAGATTGATAAGGAGATGACACAAGATAACAAAAAGCCTGAGGTTCTGTGCTGTGTCTGATGAAGACGCTAGCTGCCCTGGAATAGACTCTGAATGAACAAGAAGTAAGCTTTTGTTTTATTAAGCCAAGAGATTGTTAGTATTATTTGTTACTGCAACATACCCTATCCTATCCTAACACACATTCTAAAGAGAAAGTATAATACAGTAAAAGAGTATACACATTTAGGGCCGGCTGAGTGGCTCAGTTGGTTAAGAGCTCGCTCAAAGTTGGGTAAGAGCTCTGAGCAACAGTGGTTCAAGTCCGGCCCAAGCTGAGCTGCCGCTGAGCTGCCAACAGGTGGCAGGATGGCTCAGCTAAAAAAATAAATAAATGAATAAATAAAAATAGAAAAGCCAAGAGTATACACATTTGAGGGAAAAGAAGCTTGATGTTTTATCCCACCTTAGTCACTTATTATTTGTTGAATTTGAAGTATTACTTAACCTCTCGAAGCCTCAATGTTATCCTTTTAGAATTAAGGTAATAATGCTTGATTAATAGGGTAATTTTTCCTGAGAAAGTGCCTGGCTTTTAGTAGCATTAAGTTAATTAAACAAGGAGGCCATTAGAGTGAGGTCGTCTAATACCTTAGCATCTTATGGAAGCAAACTGAAACCTAAGCCTGTAAATGCCTCATGGTTAGGAAACGAAAACTTAAAGACCACCAATCACATAGAGCCAACGAGGATTTCCAAATAAGGCAACCACTTAAGCTATCACCAATCAAATCATTTCCTGCTTTGCTTTAGCATCTTCTCTATAAAAGTCTTGCCTCTAACTTCTGTAGGTGGCATTCTCCTAACCACTTCTGGCTTGACGCTGCCCTATTCAAATCAATTTTTGTTCAAATAGACTCTTAAAATGTTTAATATGCCATTTTATCTTTCAATAGTTTATACTGTACTTGAAAATGCTTTATTATTATTATCATTAATATAACTCAGCAATAATAAAATAGAGTTGAAATATCTTTTAAAAAAAAGAATAACACAGTGGTTGTTGGTGCCACTACACATGGATGGCTGAATGCACTGAGCAGGGTTCTGAGCCACTGTCAAGGGCCAGAAACTAGAAACCATCTTTTGAGGGTGTGAGGGGTGGGGCATTCCCTGGTTCCAGGAAACAAGGGTGAAAGGGACATGGTATCCAGCCAGGGAATTTTTTACATTTTGCAACTGGTTTTTTTGGGGGTTTTTTTTCTTTCTTTTTTGCAATTTGAATATTTTGTGAAACCAGGGCTTCAAAGCAAGTGAGAGCATCCCTACTGCAATGAGCAAGACCACAAACACTTTGACCCTCTCAGAGGACAGACTATACTTGGAAACTGGAAGTTCTATTTTGTTTCTGTTTTTAATCCTTTCAATTTTATACAGATATACAGAGAGATCGAAGGAACTCTTTTCCCCTCTGTCTCTCTGCCAATTTGAAAGTGAACACTTTTAGCCAAGGAAGGAGGGAAAGACCATAGCAACAGTTTGGGAGATTAAGAATTTTTATGAAAAAAAAAATGACTTGAGATGGAGAAACTGTCCCTACCTGAAGCCTACATTCGTCTCTCTCCTCTACCTCCACTGGCTTCCTAAGCATTTGCTACAGGACCCAAAGAAGCTCTTCATCATCACAAAGGTGCATTTAGTAAGGAATAAATAAAAAGACAAAAAGCTGGATAAAGAGAGTCACGGCCCATATGTTCCCCAGTCAGTGTTCTTGGGTCCCAATTTATGGAACAAAACCCTTTCCTATGTCAGTTACGATATGTAAACTGTGTCATCATGAGAATTGCCTCCACTTTCCTGAGCTCAGCGGGCCCTTTTTCCCTCGGCCTGGCATCTGGTCTCAGTTCACCCAGGATCCTGTCTCAGAACTGCATGCAGAATCCCATCAGTCCAGATCAGCTGCTGCCAGCAAACCACGAGGCATGGAGTCCCACTCAGCCTGACACGAGTCAGGTACCTATGGAGTAGAAGCCGGATTGTGGAGATTTCCAGTCTCCAACATCCATGCTCAAAAAATGTTTGATTCTAGTAAACCCAAGTTCTCTAATTCTGAACTGAAACCACAGTCCATGACAAGGAAAGCTCACAAAGCCCTCATCCCTGGCAATTGAAATGAAACAAGTACTGACCTATGAATAGAAAGAGCAATATAGCCGCCAAGTGCTCCCAAGATGCCTGGAGGCTGACAGAGATTGCTGAATAGGAGAACTCAGCCCTGCAAGTGCAGGCACATTTGCCCGTAGAATGGCATTTTTGAAAGTTGACTTTCGAAGAGATGCATAGTTTGTTTCCTGTCTGGTAGCACACTGCCCAAACAGACCTTTCTGTCATCATACATACTTTTCTGGAAGTACAAACACAGCTGACTCACATTTTAATTTACATCTGTGTCCAAGTGTGTGCCCCTATACATGCTTTGGCCTGTGTATATGGTCCCCAGGGTGTGCCCATGTGTGTGCATGCGTGCACGCTCATGCATGCATATATGTGTGAGTGAGCATGTGTTCATTTGCATTGCCATTTGAAGAACCTTTATCTTTTAGGGTTTTTTTTCTTTTAAGTGCCGTGTTTTATTGGATTATGGAGAACTTGCATGTTTTTCCTCCTCTCTATTCTTTACTCCTGTCCTTTCAGAGTTGTTTCATCTTAGTTCTAATTTAGTTTTCCATGCTGCTTTCCTTGGAGTCACTAAAAAAAAAAACTTTTGTAGAATAATAGATCTCAGTTTTTAAGAGTACAAGCTCTTGTTTATGTTTAATCTTTTAGCTGCCGCCATAAAAAAATGGTATACAATAAGTCAGTTGTAGAAAGACAAATACCACATGATCTCACTTATATGTGGAATCTAAAGAACTGAATAAATAAGCAACATAAACAGAAATAGTCCCAGAGACATAGAGGAAGAACTGATGGTTGCTAGAAGGGAGGGGTGTGGGAGGAAAGAGGAGGGGAAGGGATTAGACAGCATAAATAGGTAACTACAATATTGCCACAGGAATACGAAAGACAGGGGAATATAATCAATAATGTTGTAAATATTTTTTAGGGTGTCAGATGGACACATGTCTTGTTAGGAAGACCACTTCATGGACAGTGTAGAGGCCTGACTACTGCACACCTGAAGCTGCCGTCGAATAATATTGTATGTCAACTGTAATTTAATATATATATATAGTCATGGGATGTGGAGTACAAGGTAGGGAGTGGAGTCAATGGAATTGTAATAGATATGTATGATATCGGGAGGGAGTGGGGTGGCGGATTGAGGGAGGGGGTTGTCATGAGGGATGAAAAGTATAACTATTGCATTGTTTTGTAGACCTGAAACTAATAAAAAAAATGGTACACAAAATAAAAGCACTACACTGCAGCACTAATAACTTATAGGTTGCTTTCCTCATATTTTAAGTTTTTCTAAGTGATAATTATCTTATTATTTAAAGTGCTATTTACATTTACTAAGTCCATGTTTACTTACTATTTTATCTACTACATTTCACTTTAATTATACCAATCCCAGATAAGTAGGAAAACTATTATTCGGACATAGATTTGTTTTTGCAGGGTCTGTACTTAATACAACAGTCCTATTATCCATGAGAGCATGTTAAATATTACCAGTGGATATGAAGTATTTTACTGTCTTTTCAAAAACAAAAGCAAAAATGAAAGTGATGCTTTTGAAATATGCCCAGAACATCCACAGGAGAATCACTGGCAATGTGAGGAATGAGGCGTTGATTTTCAGTATAAGAACCAAAAAATAAGTTTCAGAACAGCTTTTGACATTGCTATGACTTTCTGGTTGACTTTTGCTATATTCTTCTTGATATTCAGAAAAATTCTATTATTTAAGTCAATTTGTTCCACTTGTTTCACATATATTTTTATATATTATTAGCAAGAAACCTTGCTGATTTAAAAAAGTTAAGTAAATATGTTGATGTTTTTAAGACCCTTTTCTTAGTAGTGTCACTTTATGAATTAATGATTCTGGAACTTATGCTGTTTATTCTGTTACTTTTTAATGTATGTTCATTCCCTCATAATGCGAACTTCTGAAAAGTGAATATAAAAGGCCCAGGTGTGTATCAGGAGGAGATGGTGTTGTCACACACTAGTTAATCCACTCAATTTAAATTTTAGTATAGACCAAAAGTGGAGATTATTAAATGATTTAAGCTTTATTATACAAAGTCATTGTAGAAAGCTCTTTGGCACAATGTTTTTCAGATATAAATATTGGGAATCTATTTTGAAAGACATATTACATAAAGCAAAAAGGAAAGGAAAACAATCCTGTGTTTTAAAATATATGGCAAATATATACATATATAAATATAAATATATATTTACTGTGATAGTCAACATCCAAAATGACGTGCAGTGATCCTCACCTGCTGGTGTTCTCACTGCTATGTGATTCTCTCCCACATTGTGACACTGTTGGTCTTAATGACTAAAAGCATATGGCAGAAGTGATGTAATTCCCAAGATTACCTTATAGAAAACTATAGCTTCCTTCTTAGGCTGGCTATCTATCTATCTATCTATCTATCTATCTATCCATCTGTCTATCATTTCATCACTCACTCTAGAAGCCAGTGGCTGCCTTTTTGCAAAAGCTTTCAGGCAGCCTATGGAAAGGCCCCTGTGGTGAGCAACAGAGGCCTCCAGCCAACATCTCCCAAGGAACGGAACCTGTCAACAACCATGTGAGTGAGCTTAGAAGCAGTCTCCAGCCCCAGTAGAGCCTTGAGGTGACTGCAGTCCTGGTAATAGGTTAATACAGCTTTAAGAGAGATCCTAAGCCAGAAAACCCAGCTAAACCACTCCCAGGTCCTAACTTCCAGAAACTGTAGAAGATAATGTTTATTGTCTTAAGCTGTCAAATTTGGGAGTAATTTGTTATGTCACAATTTGTCAATATTAAACAGAAAAGAAGTATTTAGAATTTTTTTGAAGCATTTAATATTTTCAGCCTATTACTGATACATTAGCATGTTTTCTGCTTTAAATTAAAATTGTCTGATGGCATTGAGGCTTTCCATGATGCTTCCTGTTCCTAAATACATAAGGAGCTTTCTTATTTTCTAATAGGTTTTTTTTTAAAAGGTCAGTTAATGTCACCCAAAAGCACAAGATGAACTTTACTCAAATATTTATTGGATGATATAGTCTTTTTTAGGGAAAGCATCTGCCACAAAAGTGTTTATTTCAAAATGTCATATTGCTGGCATGGACCCCTGCTGCAAATACCCTGCTCTCCTTTGCAGAAGGTCATGTTTGTACAGTGTGAGGTCAATATCTGGGCTATATGGATAGTCTATCAGCTGAGAGATTTTTTTACTTAAAAGATATTCTTTGTTTCACAAGGTGTATAATGTCAAGAGTTTCTGCCCTTACTTAAAAAGAACATTTAATGTCAGATTAAATACATAATTTCATCAATGTGACTTTCTGGTTCCCTAACTCCATAGGATCTTGAATGGTTTCACTGTCAACCCATTACCAATAATTCTCTAAGAGTGTCTAGTTGAGCCTGGGGGAGCTAAGCTAGCTGGATATTCTTACTAGGTAACCATTTTGTCCAAGCTTCAAATTATGGTGGGAAATAGAGGTGAGGGGATTGGATTTGTTATTTATTTGCTAGGGATGCCACATTAAAGTACTACAGGCTGGCTCAAATGACAGAAATCTATTTTCTCATGATTTAGGACAAGTCTGAGATCAAAGTGTTGTCAGGGTTATTTTTCCTGAGGTCCTCTCTCTTCGGCTTGTAGATGGCCGGCCACCTTCCTCTGTGTTTTCACGTGGTCTCCCCTCTGGGCATGTCTGTGTCTTAATGTCCTCTTCTTATAAGAACAAGAGCTGTACTGGATTTGGGCTCACCATAATGACCTACTTTTATCTCTTTAATTTAAAGACTTTCTCCAAATGCAGTCATATCCTGAGGTATGGACTTAGGATTCCAATATAATGAATTTGAAAGAGTGCAGGACACTATTCAGCCTATAAGAAAAAATGAAATATATTATTTAGGTAAATAAGTAACAGTGCAAACAAATAAAGTCACTGGAATTTTTAAGCAGAACTGAATAAGAGATATGAGTTTTAATTAAAGTGGCAATGGATTCAGACTTATTGCAGGTGACATGGCTAATAGCAGCAGAAAAGTTAATCATGGAGAATCTTTCCATGGAGCCAGGAGGTGGGGATCATTGGAGGCCATCTTGGAAGCTGGCTACCAGTGAATATGTGTGTGTGTGGGTGTGGGTGTGGGTGTGTGGTTTACATTGTCATGAAGTCGACAAAATAAATTACAGTCTTTAAATAAGGAAGTGTCAAAAATTCTCTGGACCTTTCAAATTCATCAAGATTTAAAAAGATAGATAAAAATATTGTGTTTAAGCATTGGTCTTTCTTGGAATTGTATTGTTTGTATTAAATGAGCATCATTAATGTTTTAAGAAGAAGAAATTAAAATTACAGTTAAAAAGTACGTCAAAACTATTACAAAATATGCATACATGCATTAAAGAAATCTAGAGTGAAAAAATAATCAGAGCTAGGTATAGATGTAGTAAATACCACTTTCAAAAAAGTCAATTCACTGCTGCACTATTTAATTTTAAGAGAAAATATTCTAAGACAAGCTATTTAGAAAGTTTGTCACAGGGGAAAATATCAGGTAGTATATTCAAATAAGCAGTTGTTGGTTGATCTCCAGGAAAAATTTAAAAATAAAAATAATATGATTTCTATCAGGAACTTTAGAACATACCAAATGCAATAAAAGACTTTATAATGTGGTATCTTACAGCGAATAGATACCATCTTGCTTATAAAAATTATATTCACATGTTTGGGGTTTTAGTTTATTTAGCATACTTGTTCATATGTTAATTAAGGTAATTTTTTGGGATGGTAATATAATGCAAGGCAAATAAAAATATTTTATTTCTGTTTGTGTGGAAGAACTAACAAGAAAGACACACAAGGGCAATTTCCCAGTGACTCTCATTAAAGGTTTTCAATACTAGAATCCATTGGTATTTAATACTTTAGAGCAGGAGCCAGCAAACTTTTTCTGGAAAGGACCAGCTTTTTTGGCCCTATGGTCTACGTCACAACTACTCAATTCTACCATTATTGCATGAAAACAGCCATCAATAATATATAAGACCTAAACAAACATGACTGTGTTCAATAAAAGTGTAGGTATGGAGACTGAAATTTTAATTTCACATAATTATCATGTGTCACAAAATATTCTTCTTTTGATTTTATTTTTCAGACATAAAAGATTTTATTTTGAGACATAAAAATCTTGCATAGCTCACAGGCCATACAAAAACAGATAGCAGGCCAGATTTGGTAAATGTCTGCTTTACAGCCACCCTATTCATATGCTTATAGGCTGACAATTTAGATAAAACACTAAATAGGCAGAAAAACACAAAAAAAACATGAAAACCCTCTAATAGATTTCTAGATGTAAACTCAGCTGCCTGGGGATATATCAGTGCTAGATATTAAGCCAAAGCCAGTTAGCTGATATTCATTGATTTTTCTAACTGAAATATTCAGGGAGGCTGAACCATTGGAAAATGTACTTAATTGAAACAATCAGAGGTGATATAATTTTAGCAATAAATACATCACAATTGGTTTTACAGTAGCAGTCCTATATCATTGCAATAGCTAACACATATACAGTGATTTCCATGGGCCAGGAACTTGAAATGTGTTGACTTACTTAATTGTCACCAAAAAGAAAAAAAAAAATCTAAAAGATGAGTACAAGCGTTCTCCTTATTTTATAGATTTTACCTTTCAAAATGTTGTCTCTATTTATCTGGTTTTATATTGTCTGGTATGTATGGGTCTGTCAACATAAATAAAAATGCATATTAGTAATGCACGTGTATAAGAGGCCACAACCACTAATAGTAAGAGCTCAGATCCATTTTTCTTTTCTCATCCATCATTTTTTAAATTATTCAAAAGAAGAGAGAGAAAATGTAAAGATTCTACCAACTTAATAGGTACACAATAGTTGTTATAACTATGACCATTACACTTAACGCTTGTGCCACGAGGTCTGATGAAATGTTTGATGCCTGGTCCTTCTCATACAACCTCCCGAAAAGAGTTACTGTCAAGACAGGTCCAGATAACGGCTTCAAGCTAAACAAGCGTCCATCGCTTGACACCTAATTAAAACATAGAGAAGGTGATTGGATATGCCTTTCAGTTATGTAACCTACAACACACTTTTAAAAGTCGGTACTACTGGATGAGGAAACAAAAATAATGGCCAGATTCTGTTCTATCATGTGAAATGGTACAAAGTACAAGAAAAATCAGAGCTATAAAATTGGCAGTGATTCATTTTCTATTGAAATGTTTGTAATCAATATCTTGTAATTTACTTATCTGAGGAAGCATCCCATAAGTTAATAAACATAAAATAGTGGATTTGGGAGTATACCAGAGAGAAATCCGGTCCTCTCAGGCAAGATAAAGAGTCCTCCAAATGATCAGAACGGGTTGACTAAGGGGAGTTTGAGCTGAGCGTGTATCATCCCTGTCAGTCACTCACCACAGCATCCCACCCTGCCCATTGTCCCTAACTCCCCACAGTAGCTGTTGCCACAAGGAAAGGGAAGTGAGGGCAGAACCTGCAGGAAAAGTCAGTAGAAAAATATGAATATGACTGGGTGCTTGTTCAGTAAGAAATTATTTCTGGCCTCTAAAAAGGTTTTGCTTTCTTCCCAACATCAGCCTCTCAGATTCTCTCTCCTCAGCTTTCTTCTTTCCTTTTCTCCTGTGGTCACCCATACCAGGAGAGGAATCCCTTTCTATTTCCCTAGACCATCATTGCCCAGTGATGTGAAGGGCTTCTTTCTCTGGTGGGACCTGTCCTGAAACTCTTCCTTTCTTCCTACTCAATAGACTTTAAACAGCCCAGCCTTGTCCTTAGAGTCCCCACACAGTATTTTTCTTTATTCTCAAAGACATTCTAATTATTATACTACAGCTTTCCAGACAAGAAATGCAACCTGCTCGGTGTCCTTCGTGACCCCTAAGGACAATTTTACCCTTTCCCAATGGAGATTTTTATAATACGTATTTGTAAGCACTTGGGCAGGTTTTGTACTCAAATAGTGTTTCCTTTTACATGAAGGAGTTGGCAACATTAAGCAAAGATTCTTACCTGAAATTCTCCAGGTGCCAGCTGAATTTCACTGAGCAACACCTCAGGAAAGACATACTGAGTTCCAAAGGTGCCACTGAGGGAGAACATTTCAAACCTGGTAGAGGCAGTTTCCACGGAGTCACCACAAGAGTGCAAGTCCATTGTTTTACACTTCAACAGAGTACAAATCTAGGAAAGTAAATGCAAACCATGAATTCCTAGGAAAGGACCTAAGCCCATTGAAACACTCTCCTGACCTCGGCCAAAATGTCCATGCCTCTTTGTTTGGTAAAATAATGTTATTTCCACAATTGATGAATCCAGTTCATTGCTGACTATCTATTGCAACTAGTCATAAAAATGAAGGGCTTCAGACGCTAGTGTTTTCTGCAATTCATTGTCAAACAGATCTAGTCACATGAAGAAATAATCCATTCTTGGGTCTATAGCTGAGAACAACTATATCCTCATTATTCTCAAGTTAGCAATGCTTTTATTAATCAAAAGTGTTCCATTTTTTTAAAAGGTTTCATTTAGACACTAACCTAATCTCTATTTTATTGCCAACTTTACACAATGAAAGAACTTTAAAGTTGTAGTAAACCCTAGAGTTGATGTAAAGAAAACCCCTGCGATCTGGAAAAGTCACGTATTTTATATCTGAGCAAGGACTTAAACAGTTCTCACTATATCACATAGTCATATTATCCTACATTATACTACATACTTATCCTACACTATACTACAGTTATACTATACTATATTATACTATATTATACTATTACTACAGTTATACTGTTCTACACTATACTACATAGTTATACTATCCTACACTATACTACATAGTGATACTATCCTGCACTATACTAAATAATTTTTTAATGTAAAATCTAAGGATATGAATTGTCTCACCAGACAGAGGGAAAATCTCCCCCCCAAAAAAAAATCCATATTCATTTTACTCCATCTGTGTTGCATCTTCCAAGCCTATTCCAAGCCACCTTGTTGCCTGATTAAAGCAATAAACCTTTAACTGGTCTCCTTGCTTCTGCCTTTGAAGTTGGACAGCAAGTGCTTAGGGCAAGTGTGTTAAGATGAGATACATGTAACTTTCAGGTAAAGGTAGAATACACATAAATATGTGCTTCTTTTTGTTCCCTTGAAATCCTACTAGAAGTAACATTGATTTTTTTTTTAAGGCTATAAACCCACAAGGATAGGAGACCACGATGCAATTTTAGAAGCTGAAATGCTGCAAAAGTGGTAACTGAGTTAGCAGAACCAAAAAAGCCAAGTCCTAAAGTGGCAGTGGGGAAGGCAAGAACCAACCCTATCTACACTGCGGAGTGCTCAAAAGATTCCACCCCTGGGAGCTGGTCAAGTTGTGGTTGCTAAAGTAAATTAGTGGGATGTTGTTAAGGATGCCAACGATCTGAGTCTCCCACCTATTCCAGTAAAAGATGGGGTATTTATTTCTAGAGGGGGTAAACCAGATGATGTTTAGATGGAGATTTTAAAAGACAGAGTTGAAAGGGATTACAGGAATGAATCACGCTGAATCAGAGGTTCTCAGCCTTTCACAGGGGTTGCCTAAGACCATCGGAAAACACATATTTTCCAATGATCTTAGGAACCGAGACACCACTCCTCTATCCGTCTCCAGGCCCACATGCAGATACGCCCACATATGAGTACCCGGCGACCCCTGTGAAAGGGTCATTCGACCCCCAAAGGGGTCGCGACCCACAGGTTGAGAACCACTGCACTGAATGCTGAGCCCATCTCCTTCCACCCCCGCCTCACCCTGCAAGGTCATTTCTCCCACTTGGCTCTCGAAATGCTGTCAGCAAGGCAGTCATCCTTCAGGAACAGGCTTGCCAGGTAAAACATGAGACAGGAGTCCCAGTTTAAATTGAAGTTCAGATAAATTAAGTAATACTAATTGTTTTACTAAAAACTAGTATTTTTAATTTATCTGAACTTCTGAAATTCAATTCTAGTTTTTAGTACAAATGTGTCCCAAATATCACGATATTACGAGACTATATCTATCTATCTAGCTATCTATCTATCTATCTATCTATCTATATATATATATCCCATGTGCTATTTGGGACATACTTATATTTTTTATGTGAACTTCAAATTTATCTGAACTTCAAATTTACCTGGGCATCCTGTATTTCTATTTGCTAAATTAAGCAACCTTATTCAGAAAGAGCATTAGAAGAATTCTGTAGCCTGGAAAACCTGACCAACGCAAGAGGAAATCTCTCAAGATACTTATCTCAGGGATTCCCCTAACAAAAGGCCCAGCTAGATCACTCTACTGTGAAGCTTAAAATTGGCAAGTATTACCCACATTTTCAGAGCTTTCAATCAGTTCTTGATAATCCTAACGGGTCGCCCTATATATGAGAAACTGCTGAACTTAGAATTTTAAATTCCAAAACTTGTCTGACACCAGTGGTTTAGCCAAGCAATAGAAATAGAGGGTGATGTTTATTTGGCAGAGCTGACAGTCTTCCTTCTTCCCAAGTACTAAGAATGGGCTTGGCTTGGCTCTCCTCCATTGGAACCAGGCTCTGGGGGATGCAGGCAGCAGGACAAGACCGAGAGAAGAAGGAAGGAAAAAGAGAGACGAATACCCAAGAGATTGCTGCTTTTTGTTTTGTAACCAACTTTTTAAACTTAAAAATATATTACAAAAAATAATATATCATGTTTTGAATTTTAAAAATTAGTATGGCAATGTAATACCATATATATGCCACATACATAATGCAATTAATGTCAACATGTCACATAATATATAATATTCATATGGCAATAAGTATTCTTCTACAACATAATTCATTTAACTAATTATTATACTATACGTTCCACCTGAAATTCCCTCCCACTCTTTTTCATTTGGATAATCGCATAAGCTCATACATCATGTCTCCAGAAACTTCCTTGGATCCCCAACATAGACTAAGTACAGCTTCTTAGTATTCCTACAGCAAAATGTTCACTCTGTGTTCTATCACACGCCAAACTGTAGTGAAATTTTGTTGATATGTCGTTCTCCCTCCCCTTCTAGATTTCTCATGAGGAAGGTCTATATTTATTCATCTTCATATCACTAGCACAGAATATATATATCTGGTATGTAGTAGGCACTTGATAAACGTTTGTCAAAATGAACAAGCATTGATAAGAGGGCTTACCTATCATATCGAAAACAAAACATTACACAGTAGGTTCAGTTCCTACTCGAAGGGCTTTCAGTCTAAAAAAAAATGTATGTACATAATTTGACATGACATGTCTTTGATCGAGTTAAGCATATGATGTCTGGAAGCACATGAAAGAGACACCTAACCCAATTAGGGGGTGGGAGTGATGTTACAGAATCAGGGCAGCCTCCTTGGTGAAAAGAACACCTGAAAAGCACTACGAATGATGAGTGGTGGGGAGGCATCATAGATAATGAACACAACCTGTGCAAATACCCAGGGCTTCTGCAGAAGCTGGCACATTGGAAATGGGGAGCCCAGGGCACATATGGGTAGAAGTGAGAGAACACAACAGAGACTAGAGAATGGCACATAACAAGTCTTGGAGTGTTTTATGTTACAGAATTTGATTTGCCAAGTAGAAGACAGTGCAAAAATTTAAGCAAGAGAGTGAAATAATAAAAAATGGCTATTAGTGGTTTTTGTAATTATAGTGTCCCTACACTATAGGAAATGGACTGGATGGAGCTGAAACTGTCAACAGGAAACTCTGTTAGGATATTGCAATAATCTGGGTGAAACAGGATTGGGGGCCAGCTCAAGGAAGAGAAGAACAGAATGAGAAGAATAAGGAAGCTGCTTTTTAGGAGTTCGATCTCATAAGACTATTATAGCTCCTCCTTTATGTTGTGGGATGTGAGATAGCTGAATCTTTGCAGCAGTAGACTATTCTTCTGTACATCTCAACTCTTATATGTCTCCAGGACATACTCAGTGTCAAGTTCTTTATAAAACATGATAGGCATTAATGAACATGTAGGGAAAATGGCTAAATTTGTTAAAGTAGGAAATGTCAGAGATTAATTATCCATTAAAATTACCTGTAATGTGATTATTATACCATTTTAAATGCTTATACTTATTTAAACTGAAAATAAATGTTCTGCCTTTTTCCAACCAGTTTAAAATTGCACTGACTTCTAGGATTGCAAGCTTTAGCAAATAAAAATTCCGGGGTGCCCAAATAAATTTGAATTTCAGATTAACAACACATTTTTCAGTATATATATTTTTTTCCCAAAGTGGGGCATTCTTATAATAAAAAATAATTCATTGCTTATCTGAAATTTAAATTTACCTGGGTGTCCTGTATTTTATCTGGCAACTCCCCTAACCCCAGAATAATCATTACCTGTAAATGGTATCTCCCTTCAACAGTATGTAGTCCATCAAATGTCCCTAGGGCATAAACTTCATCCAATCTCTTCTCAGACATCTTGTAGCTTAGATGACAACAGAGATCATTCTGACAAACTGTGTAATTTCCTGTGACTCCTTTGAGCTCCAAGAAGGTGAATTCATCAAAAAAGACAATGCTCTTAAATTCCTGGTTTCCCGTTGAGAGTGCTTCTATACCACTGGCGTAAGAAGTCCAATTCACCACCGGATGGTGTGGGTGGGAAGCCAGTTGTGCAAGGAGGAGTTTTCCCTCTTTGGTCTTCATATCATAATGAAATGCTCTCGGAGAGTCAGGTGCATAGATGCCACTGCCTGGAAGTAACAAGTTGGAAATGGCATTTGAAATAGAAAAGTTAAAAGGGAACTCATAGTTGTTGCTATTTTCAACATTTTACTCCCTCTAAGGCAGATAGATAGATTAGATAGATAGATAGATAGATAGATAGATAGATAGATAGATAGATAGAGATAGGTATAGATAGATATACATAGATATAGATAGATAGATAGATATAGATATATTTCATTAATTTCAGTGAACTATGCAAAGAACAAGTGACAAGAAATCCAATAGAGTATGATACCAAGAAGCCAAGAGAGTTTCAAATAAGAAGTGGTGCATTGTGAAAATAAAGAAAAAGGGTGTTTATTCAAGTTAAATAAAACTAAATAAATCTAGAAACAATTTAGATGAAGACAGATTTAACAGCATGTCACCAGCTAGATACACAAAACTTAAGAGTTGGAAACCTCTGTATTAAGGAATACATACTAGCTAGAATAAAAAGACATTTTTTCTTTTTGGATTATATCAAGCCCATAAATCTTAACAATTAAACATTACCTGTCATTTTCTTTGCGGGGTGATGTAGATTGGATGCAAGGAAATTGACCCCCATGCCCATAGCCCAAGCTGAGTGGAATTCAATAGCTGACAAATGTGGCAAAACATTCATCCAAGCTGTGGGAAACAGTATGGTGTCCACGTGGAAATCTTTCACCAGGGTCACAGCAGGATCATGGAAGAGTATATCAAAGCATGTGAACATGCCAAACCTTCCAAACGGGGTGCTGAAAGTCACCACCTCAGGCTCCTTGGGTATGTTGAATTGACCCTCACCCAGGAAAAGGTTTTGCTGCAATAAACAGAAGACAAAGTGGGGAGAAATCTCTTTTAAGAAGTTGATCTGGACATCGCTGTGTCTGAAAAAGCAGAAGCTCACGTCTGTTCCACAGTGCCAATTTCATCTATGACCACGGCCTTTACAGGGAAAGGACATTACTGAATCAGGTTACTGCAGGTGACAGGAGCCTTTGGTTCAGTGTCCCCATTTTATGGATATGTACAAGGAAATCCTTATCTGTTAAGAACTTGAGTCTTACAAGATGTGGAAGTGAAACAGGTAACTTTTATTTGCCAAGAACATTTAACTATTTTCTGTGGACAAAGAACACTCTTTGGTCCTTTCTCTTCAAAACGAAGTCTATCTGGTAAGGAGTTTTTCATTCTAGCTTTGACCCATTGCCAGGGCATATCTTAAAAGGATGAAGTTCAAAAGATGACATTATATTTTAATGCAGGCGGGGCATACTGATTCTCACACACTCGGAACACACTTTTGTGTTCCTAAATGCACAGGAAACCTCTTGAGCTTTTTTATAGGAGCTTCCTACATCTAATTATTCCTTTCTATGCTTTGTCTCTATTCTGCTTGTAAAGTGTGTTTATCATTATCAACAATAAGGGTTTTTTCCCCCTCCTTGTCCACTTTATTTTGTTAAACATTCAGTACCTGAATGATTCGCAAATTAAGCCTACCTTATGATAGCGTGCCACCAGTTTTCCCTGAGAATCAAACACCACATCAGTGTTGTACTGGTAACGGCCATCAGAAGGACACTGGGGATCACTGGCATTGCATGGCTTTTTGTCCCCAATATTTGCCACAATATAGATAGAGTTGTCCTTGGCCAGGCAGCTGAGTCTTTCTTGCAGTGGGTTGTGGCCAAACCTGGTATGTGTTATCAGAAGAGGGGAAAAAAGAAAACCAAGTGTAGCTTTTAACAAAATTCAGAATGATAGTGGCCTGAACCTATTAAGTTACACACACTAAAACTAAATTCTAAATAACAGACACAGAAGGGGAGGGTTAAAACAAGAAGAGAAGTCAGAGGAAGTACATGCTTGTAGGAATGTGGTTGTAGGAAACTATACTCGGGTAAGATTCCAGGCCATGTATTTTTTTCTTCGTAACATTTATCAACATCTATAATCATACATTCATGTGTTAATCTTATAATGTATATCACACCTTACACATATGATGGGGCAAAGACACATATCTCCTGTTACCTGAACCCATGCCTGACTGAAAAGAGGCATTATAAAATATCTCGAATGAAAGAAGGGCACCTTGGTAGCAGGAAGATTCTGGGAAGATGGCAGAATAGGAAGCACGAGGAACGTAACTCTCCACATAGATAACCACTGCACTTGCAGAATCTGTCTGATATAACTTTTGAAACTCTGGAGTCTATTTAAAGGTTTGAAACCTTCAAGGATGCCATGGAAGGTAAATTGCAGTTAATTTCAGTCAATTTCAGTCCTTAGCTCAGCAGTGGCTACCCGTGCCTGGTCCCCACTCCAGCCCTGTGGCAGGCAGCCATCCATGCATGTGCTTCTGGAGCACCTTGCAGGCAGCTTGTGGGAGCAGGGTGAACAATAAGGACCCCCTTCTTCAAATATAGGGGAGCTGTGTTCTGATCCTTGATAGCTGCCTGTGATCCTGGAGGTGCAGACTCAGGGGCAGGCAGCCATTGTTACACCCCCACCCCCAACTCACATTGTTGCAGTTCTATCCCCCTCTGGCTGAAGTGATTTCTAGGAGATTTATAAGGCCAGAGCCTTCTTTTTTTCTCTCTCTCTCTCTTTTCCCCTTTAGGAACCAGACATTTAAGGACTAGCCATAAAAAACCAGTCACATATATAGAAATATTTATCAAGTCACTACGCATGTCCAGGGAAAGGCACAGGTTAAGACAAGACCTGAGCAGACCTTAAGTTTATACCCCAAGCTTATCCTCAGCACAGAAACAGCCTACAACAACCAAAACAATCAAACAAAAGACAGAAAATCCTGGGGAAAGAAGAGAATTTGATTTCCAGAGTCATCACATGATAAGATTCAAATGTCTACTTGTCAATAAAAATCATAAGGCATACAAATAAACAGGAAAAGCATGGCCCTTTCAAAGGAAAAGAATAAACCAACAGAAACCTGGAGAAAGACCTGATGCCATACCTACTGGATGTAACTTTTGCGCTTTGAAGTGCAAAAGCAAAACTCGTACAGTTCCTTTTTCCTTCACAGTTTAATAGGTAGAAGATTCATTTTTACCATAAATCTTAGCAACCTCAGCATATGATTTTTTCTTTCCTCATTAAGATGAGAACTTGCACCTTTTCCCTTAAAGGATGTACTTTATGGCTTCTCTTTGGCATATCTGAATTGTCAGCATCACTACCCTTGTGCTTTGGGGCCATTATAAAGTAAAATAAGGATTCCTTGAACACAAATACTGTGCTCACTTGACCATGAAATATGAATGGTCAAGTTGGATATGAAAACCAAGATGGCTACTAAGTGACTGATATGCAGGGAGCATATACAGCATGGATGTGCTGGACAAAGGGATGATTCGTGTCCTGGGCAGGACAGAATGGGATGGTGATAGAATTCATCACACTGTTCAGAGTGGCACACGATTTAAAACTTATGAATTGTTTATTTCTGGAATTTCCCATTTAATATTATTGGACCACAGTGGACAGCAGGTAACTGAAACCACAGAAAGCAAAACTACAAATAAGGAAAGACTACCTGTATATACCACATTTTTCTTCACCCATTTATTCAATGATAGACAATTTATTTCCTTAGCTATTACATTGTAGATAATGCTGCAGTGAACAAGAGAGTGTAGATATCTTTTCATTTCACCTCCTTTGGAAATATACACAGAAGTGAAATTGCTAGATCATATAGTAGTTCTAGTTTTAATTTTTTGAGGAGCCACCATAGTATTTTCCATAGTGGCTGCACCAATTTACATTCCCACCAATAGTGCACAAGTTTCTCCATGTCCCCTCCAGCATTTATCTCTTTATCTTTTTTATTATAGCCATTCTGCCATGTCTGACATGATATCTTAATGTGCTTTTTGTTTGTTTGTTTGTTTTTTTAGCTGAGCCACCCTGCCACCTGTTGGCAGCTCAGCGGCAATGTGTTGTTTTTGTTTTTTTTAAGATTTGTATTAAAAACATACAATGCTATATTAGTTGCAGGGGTACACCATAGTTATTTAACATTTACATACCTAAAGAAGCGATCACCATGATATAAGTCCAGCAACCGTCTGACACTGTACCAGGCTATCACAATATTGACTATATTCCCTATGCTGTACATTACATCCCCATAACTTATCTATTTTATACCTGGAAATTTGGACCACTTAATCCCCTTTAGCTTCCTCACCCCCCCTTTTTTAATTTTTGGGTTTCTTCAGATAAATACCCAGAACTGGGATTACTGGGTCCTTCTTTGTTCCTTGTTATAGCCTTTGTTTCAAAGTCTATTTTGTCTGGTATAAGTATTGCTATCCCAGTTTTTGTTTTGTTTTGTTTTGTTTGTTTCCATTTTCATGAAATAACTTTTTCCATCCTGTTACTTTCTGTATGTGTGTGTATTTCAATCTTAAGTGAGTCTCTTGTAGGCAGCATATGTAAGGGTTTTGTTTTCTTATCCATTCAGCACTCCTACATCTTTTGATTGGAGCATTTAATCCATTTACATTGAAAGTAATTGTTGATAGATAGGTAGCTATTGCCATTTTATAATTCATAATTTTGATCTTTTTTTTTTCCATCTTAAAGAAGTCCCTCTAACATTCTTTGTAATACTGGTTTGGTGGTGATGAACTCCTTTAGCCTTTTCTTGTCTGGGAAGCTCTGTATCTTTCCTTTGATTTTAAATGATAGCTTTGCTGAGTAGAGTACCATTGGTTGTAGGTCCTTACTTTTCATTACATTGAATATTTTGTGCCAATCCCTTCTGGCCTGTAAAATTTCTGTTAAGAAATCAGCTGACTGTCTTGTGGGACTCCCTTATATGTTATAAGCCTTCCTCTTGCTGCTTTTAGGATCCTCTCTTTGTCTTTAATCCTTGCCATTTTAATTATTATGTATCTTGGTGTGGGCCTGTTTGGGTTCATCTTGTTTGGGACTCTCTCCACTTCCTGAGCTTGTCTATTTCCTTTACCAGGTTAGGAAAGTTTTCAGTCATTATTTCTTCAAATAGGTTCTCAGTCCCTTGCTTTCTCTCTTCTCCTGATACCACTATGGTGCAAATGTTGCTATGCTTGATGTTGTCTCAGAGGTCTCTTAAACTCTCCTCATTTTTGTGGATTCATTTTCCTTTATGCTGTTCCAACTGGGTGTTTTCTCCTACCTTGTCTTCCAAACTGCTGATTCGATCCTCAGCTTCATTTAGTCTGCTGTGGTGATTCCATCTAGAGCATTCTTCACTTCAGTTATTGGATTCTTTACTTCTGAATGGTTCTTTTTTATGGTTTCTATGTCCTTTTTTAAAAATATGCTTGAAATCTCTCTGCTGAAGTTCTCACTAAGTTCCTTGAGCATCCTTGAAATCAGTGTTTTGAACTCTGTATCTGGTAGGTTGCTTGTTATCATTTAGTTTACTTCTTTTTCTAGTTTTCTCATGTTTTATCATTTGAGACATATTTCTTTGTTTCCTCATTTTGACTGCCTTTCTGTGTTTGTTTTTATGTATGAGGTGGATCTATGTCTCCCAGTCTTGGCCAGGTGGCCTTATATAGTACGTGCCCCATGGGGCCCTGTCACAGTCTCCTGGTCACCTGCTCTAAGAATGACCCTTGTGTGAGTTTTGTGTGCCTTCCTGTTATAGTTGAGCCTTGACTGCTATTGGCACATCAGTGGGTGGGATTGGCCCTCAGGCTGATTGGCTGTGGGGTATGGCCACATCTACAGCTTATGGGCTGTTGTGTGGGGGCGCTTAACCTGCTGAGTGGGATTTGCCCCAGCAGACTCTTGTGCCTGTTGAAATTGTCCATTGTGTGTGCTGTGTATGGGGCTAATTGAGCAGTGCTCTGCTGTGGACTGAAGCCAACCTCCAAGTTTGTTGATTCTGAGGCCTCTTGGGAGGGGCTCCAGTGCAGGCCCAGGTCACCCACTGCCTGTGACCAGATAGGGACTACCTCATAAGAGCTACAAAGCAATCAGCATTTGTTCATTGCCTGTGCTAAAGTTGAAGGCATATGAGAGAGGCCACACTGTATATCGACAACAGCTACTACTAGTTAAGGGCCTGGGGTAGCTCTGCAAAAAGTCAGGACACCCCGAGACCTGCTGCCACTTGCCGGCTCCTTTAAGATTCAACCCCTGATAAAGCCTTGTGTGTGGTTCATGAGTTGGATGAGGAAGGGTCTCAGGGAATAACTAGAGTGGGAAGAGTTGTGGTTACCAGATTAATGTGGATTCTGGTTTGGTGCCAGTGTAGAACATGGAGTGGCTCAGCAAAACTCTCAGAGCACACAGAGGTCAGTTGCTGCCTGACTAGAGCCTGAGAACTCTGATAGTTTTCCAAGAAAAAGTGCAATGTGGGCAGGGCTGGCTGCTCTTGGAGAAAGTGCCTCTGGCATTGGGGAGTTGGGTAGGGCAAGTCCCCAGTGAGTCAGCATGGTGGAACAGCAGAGCTCAGCAAACCAATCAGATTTAGATTTAGCCATGTAGGGGGAGGGCTCAACACAGGAAAGATGGCACCCGCCTGCCACCTTCATGGGAGAAGAACCCCACACAGGGAAAATGGGAACTGTCCTCCAGCCCTCACTTGAAGCTACATGCCTCAGTCTGCCCCCTGTATGCCTCTGACAACCCCTGAGTCACCGTCCCTCCTCTGGAGCCTAAGGTAAG